AACCATATAGAATTTATTTTCTAGCAAAAAATAACAAAAAAAATCGTAGATATATTAACAGACCAATACGAATTAAATTCCAGTGATGAAAATTACACTGATAATTTTAAAATACATAAGAACAATTTGTAAAAAAAACATATTAAAATTCGACGGACATGAGATTCACAACTTGAACGTTCCAAAGATTTAAGCCTGGGATCAGACGGTATCCCCTTAGGACTTATACTGCATCTACCAGACAATGTAAAAAATGTATTACTAGATCTTTATAATTTTATCTGGAGTAACCTGGATTTCCCATCAACTTGGTCAGAAGCAATAATACTACCATTTCTTAAACCTGAGAAACCTCGGACATCACCTTAGTCATATCGACAAATACTCAGGCAAATAAGCAAAATTGTATCGCAGTCTTTTTTGATATTAATAAACCTTATGATACTGCCTGTCAATTCAATATCATATCAACATTATAAGGTATTAGAATATTAGAGGCAATATATTAAAATTTATTTCAAATTTTCATCTCGCAGCTTCATAGTTCGATCAGACAACGTTAGATCAGATAAAAAAGTGGAAGAGAACGGAGTACCACAAAGATCAGTTATAAGCTCAACCCTTTTTCTAAAAGCTATAAACGACATGTTTTAATAATGTTCACCGATTGTTAAAGGAAGATTGTACGTTGATGACAGAGTTTTATTTGCCAAAGGAAAAAACTCTACATCTATTCAAAAACATTTACAACAAACAATCAATCAGTTAGAATAATGATCTAGGACTATGGGATTACAATTTTCACTGACAAAAACTAAATGTATTTTATTCACCCGAAAACATAACACTCTAACTCCACATCTGAAGCTATATAACCAAACCCTCAGTTTCACAAATGATATCAGATTTTTAGGTATGGTTTTCGACCTCAAGCTCGCCTGGAAAAAACATACAGAAGAAATTAAAAAATTATGCCAAGCAGTATTAAATTTTATGAAAACTATTTCCAGCAAAAACTGGTGAGCAGGTGCTAATTTAATACAATATACAACGTCACCTACGTCACAAACTCTGTTCTTAAACTCCTCTATATATTTTCCATAGACTTTTTCTCTCGAAACGTTTAAGCAGTTCTTGGTTGTTCTGTGTAAGTGACTACGTTTCTGACCAGTATTTTAACACTGGCCTTATTAGTGTTAGACTAGGCGGGATCTGTAAAAATTCAGATCATAATGGACATTTTCCATAGGAAGCTATTTTTTGCTGGAATCCCTTCAGGATGGGCCCAATATCGATAATCACGATATGCGCCAGTCGCAAACCCTGTGCTAAATTTTTCCTAGATTTTTCCAAATCCTAGAGAAAAAAGTATAAAAAGTTAAAAGTTTCGTTATTCAATTTTACACAATATGTCGTTAGATAGAAATTGAAAATTTAATGTTTATTGTTGAAAAAATAGCAATAATTAGAAAAAAAAGTACAAAAAAATTAAATTAATCCTTTAAAGGTTTTAGACTTTTTAAACTTGACTTACAAGCTCCATATTTCGCCTAGAAAAACTTTTTAATATGTTTAAAACGTGTGCTAAATTTTTTAAAGATCGGTCAGATAGGTTTTGCATAATCATTTTGCAATCCAGCCTACTGAAAAAAAAAATCGCCAATTTTCAAATTTATAGTAGGCCCTAAATAAGGCCCTCAGATAGTTGAAATTTTTTTACATATAAAGGAAGGCTCAAACTTCCAAACGCTTTATGTAAAATTCAAATCGGTTCACTAGGAGAGCCTAGAAATTTTTTTAAAGTTTTAAACATTTTTTAGGCTTATAAACAAATTGAATAACTTTACGAGCTTAAAATATATCATTTTTGAATCCAAATGTATTCTCAAATAAAATAATGTCATTATTATGATAAAACTGCAGAAATTATTTATTTTAAAAAGTTTGATTTTTACAAAAAAAAAAAACAAAATTTCGTTCGCTTTTGTTTTAACAATTCAAATTATTATTGTTATTATATATTGTTACTTTTAGTAAATAAAATGTGTATTTATAAATTGTTAATACATAATTTGAAGTGTTAAAACAAAGGCGAACGAAATGTTTTTTTTTGTAAAAATCAAAATTTTTAAAATAATTAATTTCTGCAGTTTTATCATAATAATGACATTATTTGATTTGATAATATATTTTGATTCGAAATTTCTAGCTAACGAAATATTGTGTAAAAATGAATTACGTAACTTTTAAACTCTTATAATTTTTTTTCTAGGATCAATATTTTCCGATTTATAAACGAAAATAGGAGCAAAAAAATGAGAAAATTTTAATTGTTTTCAGATTTTGTTAAATAAAAAATTTAACACAGAGTTTGCGACTGGCGCATATCGTGATTATCAATATTAGGCACATCCTGAAGGGATTCCAGCAAAAAAATAGCTTCCTATGGAAAATGTCCAATCCAAAACAGATCCCGTCTAGACTATGGTTTCTATATGGTAATTTTAATTTTTCTGTCTAGTTTTGGGGCAATCTGTTTCCTCAAGCCATAATAGCACTTATTGGCAAGCACTATTCTTCTTTTAATTATCTGATCTAGTACAATACATATACTTGGTTTACTGTACGTTTTTTTTAAATTCCATTTTTAGTGCAGACGCCCTTATTGATCGAAATGCTTCGATCAGAGATTCTGTGGATATAGCAATAATGTCTATGTCATCTGCATATTCGATAACTGGTACAGATTTATTAAAGATAATGCCATTCGTATTAATATGACACTCTCGAATTACTTTTTCTAGTGCAAGGTTAAAAAAGAGACACGACAGTCCATCTCTCTATCTCAGTCCATTTTTACAATGGAAGGGTCTTGAAAAGTCGTTTTGAATTCTGATTACACTCTTTACACACGTGAATGTCTATTTTCATTTGTACTAATACTATTGTCTTTATTTTTTTTTATATTTATTTCAATTTCATTTTATTAAATTATGAATTAAAGCAAAGCTTGTACTTAACTCAGTAATTTGTAAGCAGGTATTTTAGTTTGCTTATTACATCAAATTTAAAATTAGTATGTAAATTGATATCATTTGACTTAAAAACTGAATGACGATTTTTTTGAATTAAAAATGGTATGCTTGTTTTGAGAAGCACCTTTTTATAATAAAATGTAATATAAACTGTGTTAATCATTTGTTTAAATATGAAAATTACATCTTCTGACGTATTAAAATATTTAAATTTACAAAATAACTAAAATAGACCATATTGCAAGTTAAGGATTAAATATTTCCTAGTTTTATCGTATAGCAACCGCTTTTATCTGTACTTAGTTTAGTTTTTTATGGATGACTTATTCCATATGGCTATGAAACTATTTAAGTGTAGCTTTTACGTTTTAGTTCTAAGTAATAACCATAATTAACCATTAGGAATATCGTATTTGATGTTTGGAAATATATGTCAGACATCTACTTCAAATAAAATTTTTTTTATTACGATTTCCGAGCTGTAGGACGAAATTTCGAATAAAATATCTGTAGCGAATTTGCTGGTCAATTACGAGAAAATTTTAAAATGAAAATGCCTTATTTTATATAATGAAAATATTTGACAATATTGAGTTTTATGTAAAACAGGAATATAGTGTTAAACATTGTTACCATCATTTAATAAAATTTTTGTGATTACATCTATACGTAGTTCTAAGAACTTACTGTTAATTCGCAGAAATTTATCTAGACAATTTTTTTTTTAATTTTTAAATTTTTGACGAAGTATTACATTTTTATCTGCCCTTAATTTATACACATATGCTAATAATTGTGAAATTTCTATATTTTTTTGATAACTCTTTATAAATTTTTATATGTTGTCTTTTAATTATAACTGTTTGGTTTCATTTTAAGCAACACTTTAGTCGTAAAGTGAATTATCCCCATAAATTAAAAATCTGGTTAGCAATAGATCTTTTAATACTTTGCAGTATTTGTAAGAAATTTACTGCCAAGAGTTTAAACGACAAATTAACATGCTTTGCTAAATAAGTATGGCAATAAGATTCCAACAAACCTGTCCAACTTATTTGTGTTGATGGGCTGTGTAGGTTATTCATATTTATTAAAAAGCAAATTTTAATTAAACTTGGTATTGATTTGAGATCTAATAAAAAATAGCTAAGTCACTATTGCTCAAAAAAATCAACAGGCTCATTTAAGGATACTACTATAGCACTTAGGTGAAAAATATTTGGAAGAAATAAAACTAGCTATATAACTGGACAAATCTGATGACAAAGTAAATAAAATGTAAGTATAATAACCGATAAGATACAGAAAAAGAGCAACTTTTTAAAAGATTGTTTACGTGAATAAACACAATTAAAGCAAGAAACAAACCAATTTTTTTTCTTTTCATTAGAGTCAGTTCATCTTAAAAAAAAATCATACACTCAGGGTACAAAAGATTTATCCAAAGGCTCCAAAACTTATACAAGTTGCTTAGCAGCTAAAAGTAACAAACTATATAATTTATTGCAAATTATTTTTAGATATCTACCTATCAACAGTGTGCTTCTCTAATAAAAGTTTGAAGTAAAAGAATCTGGAGAGTTCATTCGTGAATAATAAATAAGAAACTCCACAAAGAAAACATAAAAAGAGTTAAAATAACACCAAAATATCAAATATAAATGCAAATAGATCCAGCGTGTTTGTATGCAACCTGTGAAGTTATTTGCATTGAGATCGAACGATATTGTAGTTTATTTTGTTTTCCGAATTTTATGTTTAGTAAAGTCTTAGAAAATTCTTGTTTTAAAAAATTACAGTTATGTTGATCAAATTAAGGGCATCTTAGTTTAATACTTGCTTTTTCAAATACAGGCAGATCGAGAATTGCAGTCCACACGGGGACGGGTCTAAGTCTACTTTAGATAAAAACCATTAAAGTGGATAAATCAACTCGACATAATAATAAAATATTGAGACTCTAACCATCTGGACCTCGGACAGCGAGCTGATGCTGAGCACGTACATAGTGACTCCCACATCCACGGGTGGGCCTGTAACCGAAATTACAAATGGGCCAATCCGTTCGTGTTAATTTTACCCTTTAATCCACTGTCTGATATTTAATTATTTCGGTATTTGTTCAAAACCCCACGGACGATTTTATTAAATTAGTGGATTAGTTATAAAGTTGATCGTTGGGCTGATCACAATTTTGTGATAAAAAAAATAATAAATCAATATTTATTATACGATATATCAACTCCTGTTAAAAAAAGTAGTAAAATTCATTAGGAGAGCGATTTATATATTTTTTGTAAATTACAAAATTATATCAGACATCCAACTAATTTTCGCTTTATCTAAACATTTCTAGAAATTCATTTTATTTCTTAAATAAAAAAATATGTTTTACCGACTTTTCCGTTTTTTATAGTAACTTAAAATGTACTAAAAATAAAAAAAAATAGCTGCCGATAACTATAATCTAACATATATTTTCTCATAATTTATGTATTCGACCGTTACTTGATGGAAATTTATTTTATGTAACAATACAACACTGAAAACATTGTTTTCAACCTTCCACAAAATTTATTTTAAATCTTATCACTACAGCTGTTTCGGCTGATTGCCTTTCTCAAGTGATCTATTTTTGGCTTGGGTTTACAAATTTATAGTCTCTAATGAAATAGGTTGAGGAGGGGAGAACTGTTTGTCTCAAGTTGGTCATTCAGAATTATATCTGTGTTTTTTAATTTGTTGATTTCCATAGATTCTAACAAAGATAGCTTATGGCCTTTATTTTGAATGTGAAGAATTTTAAATTTGTCATTAAAAGAATGATTATGATCTAGAAGGTGAAGTGCGTATGTCGAATCTGTTTTTCTATTCTTGAAAGCCCTTTTATGTTCTGCTATTCGTTTATCAAAGTTTCTACCAGTTTGACCGATGTAAGTTTTTGGGCAGTCGCCACATTGAAGTTTGTACACACCACTATTTAAGTGTTTTTTATTTTGGCTTTTGTTATTTTTAATATATTTTCCTAGGTTGTTATTTGTTCGAAAAGCTGGTGTTATTCCTTTCTTTTTTATGTGTTTAGCAATTTTTGTTGTTATTTTGCCTGTATATGTAATCGAGCAGATGGTACTGGGTTTTTTCTCTGGTGGTGGAAATACTAATTTCAGGGCTTTCTTGTGTAGTTTTTGATTTAACATTTTATTAATTGTTTGTTCGTTGTATCCGTTGTTTACTGCTATTTGCTTAATTATATTTAATTCTGTCTCAAAGTTGTATTTTGACATCGGAATTTCTGTTTATCTATGTAACATACTATGATAAGCTGCCAGTTTATGTTGTGTTGGATGGGATGATGAATTGTGTATAGTCGTGTCAGTATGGGTAGGTTTATGAAATATGGAGAAGTCATGCTTATTTTAAAGTCTGCTAATTTTTAAATCTAAAAAATTTATGGATTGATTTTGTTCTGTTTCTATTGTAAATTCAATATGACTATGAAGTGAATTAATATACGATAAAAATTATATTGGTGGAGATATGTAGACGACGTGCTGGTATGTGTCACAGGAACTAACAGGCAACTCGACCAATTTTTATCGTATATTAATTCACTTCATAGTCATATTGAATTTACAATAGAAACAGAACAAAATCAATCCATAAATTTTTTAGATTTAATAATTAGCAGATTTCAAAACAAACATGACTTCTCCATATTTCATAAATCTATCCATACTGACACGACTATACACAATTCATCATCCCATCCAACACAACATAAACTGGCAGCTTATCATAGTATGTTACATAGATTAACAGAAATTCCGATGTCAAAATACAACTTTGAGACAGAATTAAATATAATTAAGCAAATAGCAGTAAACAACGGATACAACGAACAAACAATTAATAAAATGTCCACCACCAGAGAAAAAACCCAGTACCTTTTGCTCGATTACATATGCAGGCAAAATAACAACAAAAATTGTCAAACACATACAAAAGAAAGGAATAACACCAGCTTTCCCAACAAATAACAACCTAGGCAAAAATATTAAAAATAAAAAGAGCCAAAATAAAAAACACTTTAATAGTGGTGTGTACAAACTTCAATGTGGCGACTGCCCAAAAACTTACATCGGTCAAACTGGTAGAAACTTTGATAAACGAAGAGCAGAACATAAAAGGGCTTTCAAGAATAGAAAAACAGATTCGACATACGCACTTTACCTTCTAGATCATAATCATTCTTTTAATGACAAATTTAAAATTCTTCACATTCAAAATAAAGGCCTTAAGCTATCTTTGTTAGAATTTATGGAAATCAACAAATTAAATAAAAACAGATATAATTCTGAATGACCAACTTGAGACAAACAGTTCTCCCCTCCTCAACCTATTTCATTCGAGACTATAAATTTGTAAACCCAAGCCAAAATTAGATCACTTGAGAAAGGCAATCAGCCGAAACAGTTGTAGTGACAAGATTTAGAATAAATTTTATGGAAGGTTAAAAATAAAGTTTTCAGTGTTTAAGTCAGTATATAAAAACGTATTATTTGGCAAACAATAACTTAGTTGTCCTAAACTAAATCCAATATTGGACGGCAACTATTTTTTTTTTGTTTTTTGGTATTAAAATGTAAACAAAAATAGTTTGCTACAAGTAAATATGTAATACACTGCCTTATTCTTAGACAGACTGTCATGATTTTACGGCAAAAAAAGTAATATCTCTTTAATTTTAGGTAAGTTTTTATATACTTCAGTATTTTATCTCTCATTACTTACTTATCATCTACGAACTGCATTATAATAGGAAAATTTTTTTAAGTTTAAAGTGTTTCTATTTAGAATTTTTTTCTTAAATTAATGATTAACAATATTTTTCCTTATTCAAAAATTCTTATATTTACTATTTTAGCGAAATATCACTATCATTGTTAGATCTTAAACTAATATATTAGAATTCAAAAAGTTTTGGAAATAATAAGGCAGTAATATGCAAAAGGGCGACATAATAAGATCCATCAAAATATTTAAGAAAAAGTTGAAAATAATAGGATATATTTGTTTATAAAATTAAAAGTAATTGTCTTTTAAATCGTTACTATTATCGATCTAAAATCAGAATATATGAGCAAACTATTGTTTGTGTTAGATGCAGTGAATTTCTAAAATTTTCGTCTAAAACTACTAACAGTCTATGGTATTCGGAATGTCGTAATTGGCTCTACTGGGCATATTTAGCGAAAGCCCCAGACCGTCATGCGCGAGAGTCCTCCTCTGTGCAATACCTAGCGCGACGTAAGTTGTTGCGATTTGCTGATTAATAGAAAAGTTGGTTTTGGTGATACTACTTTGGTGATACTAAATATTGCCAATTCTATTTAAAATGGTATTGTGCATATGGTGTCCCAAACTTGTACTCTTTGCCTATATTTTTCATAAATTTAAATTTAAATACCATTTAATATATTTTGTAAGATTTTAGGTAATGAATGCTCAAATCATGACTGACTAAATGCTCAAATAGGTATCTACAACAGGAGTCAAAGAAATAGACCAACCCACTTTTTGATACTTTGAAATCATAATAGACATTTTTGGTGATGCAACTTATTGGCTCTAGGTGGTGATTAGACAACAACAAGAAAACTTAAAAAACATATTATTTAAACTAACGTATTTGACCAAAAAATAGTAAATTTGATTTACCAAGACCTCTGTTAAATCATCAGATACAGCAACATTTTGGAAAACCACGCAAAAGAAGAAAAAAGTAGTAAAAGAGAGCTTTGGTTCCTACTTAAGAACCAATGTATCTTTTATGATATCGATATAAAATTGAGGTTAAATAAAGATGATAAACTTATTTATATATCTACAATGTGATTTTTATACTTAAGACAAATATAAACTGCCAATTATTATTGCCGATACTCCTTAGTACTTTAGAAGAAATAAACAGATAGGCTAACATTCAAATTAAAAAGCAAGCCTAAAAAGGCTGATATTTTTAACAGAGATATTGATAGTATGTATAATGTAGGCTTAATGTTAATTAGTTCAGGAAGTTTCTCAAGACACGCTTTAGTTAGAAAACTATAAATTCCAAATGTAGGAGTTTTAATTCAAAATAGATCTACTATGTTGAATTAAAATTTGCAATTAAATGAAGGCAACCGATGGATAGTACGCTATATAGAAGAAGTACACCGACAGATAGTGAAAGTCTAGTAGGTAGGTATTAGATCTTAGTTTAAAATAAACAAGAATTTTCTGATTGGTATTATTAGGAACTTAAAATTATAATTCTATCCAACGTATTTTATTTAAATTTTTTTAAAGAATAAAGCACATGTTTTTATCCTTATCCGATACCACATAATCTGCAAGAACAATCTGTACTACTAATATAACCCAACTATTCATTAACATTATATTGGTAATTATCATTAGACATCTTCAGTAATGACCTAGAAAGTGGGTATTTATAATAAATTAACTATATTACCCCAAATAAAAAATGCTTGCTTAGGAGGGCAGAGCTCTTTGAAAATTGTTTAATAAAATCAATATGTTTCCAATATTGAAACATTGGTTTAACACATTATCACAAAAGTTTAAGCTTAGTTCAATAATTAAGCCGGTGATGGCAAGTCAGCCAACGTAAATAAGAGTCCATTGTTGCCACTACACCGTCAGCTTGAGGGGGGTAACAGGTTTTTTTGATTAAAATTATTTTATTGTTTAAATTTAAGACATGTATATGTCAAATTTTAAAACTATATGGCAATTTCCAACTATAATGCCCCATGTTTAAAACCTCTATCATTTACCCTTAAAAAAAAACACAATTCAAAACTTTTTGTTTTATTATTTTTAATTATTTATGTAGATTCACACACCATCACCAAGTCTGCTTTCACAAATCAATAAATCTTGATATTAAATTTTTTTACAAATTCTTTTTATTAAATACCTAATACATTTATTCTACAGTTATTTTTATCAATATTTCGAATATTAT